TCTGGTATTTTTCTGCATCTTCCGATTTGAGATGAACACACAGCTTCAGCTGGATGGGTCCCAATTCCCATCCCCTCCTGGCTTGGATATTTCAGCTACAGGACGATCATTGGGGGGAAACCCGAGGGTTAGGCCGAAATCCACAGACGGTCCTGACACCTCTCCGGGGGTGAAACCAACTGGAACGGGGCACGTACAGGCCGCTTCCTTTAGCAACGCGCGCAAAAGAGCGTATCGGCGAGCAAGACGCAGAGCGGAGATCGCTGGTGGGACCATATACAGAGGAGTCTGGCGATCGGCACAAGAACTGCAGACGATCTACCGGGGCTGTACCCAGATGCAGGCGAGGATTCCCTTGCCTACGAGGCGTGTCAAGCCCGCGCCCAGACTGCGAGCTGCCACGTACAATATAGGAGGCTTCTCAAGTGAGACATACGACGTCTTTTGCAGATGGCTTACTACACAACAAGATTTCGATCTGGTGCTGGTCCAGGAAACCCACTGGGGGCTGGGAAAAACCGAAGGGAAGTGGCGCATCGGCACCTGGACGGCGATAGTCAGCCCGGACTCCAAAAGTCGCTACGCGGGTGTTGCCACTTTTGTGTCTTCAAGAATCGCAGAGGAGTCCCAGATCAGCCACAGTGTCTGCCTGGCAGGCAGGATACTGCACGTACGCTGTGAAGGCGAACGAACTCGGCTGGATATTGTGAACTGCTATCAATGGGTCTGGCAAGACAAACAGGCAGAGACGGTGCAGAAGAACAGGTCTCATTTCTGGAGCAAGCTGGGCGGTTTGCTGCACTCACTGCCAGTCCGGAATATGCTCCTCTTAGGGGCTGACTTCAATAGCAAGCTGCGACCGGTGGCTGGACTGGTAGGACGAGGCCTCATGAAGAGCAGCCAGGGCAATGAGACTGAGCTGGAGGCAATCTTGCAAACACACAATCTGGTCCTTGCCAACACGTGGACCAGTTCCAGGCCCAGTAAGGCGCATACGTTCCGTAATGGTGCAACAATGAGTCAGCTGGACTTTCTAGCCACACGGCGGCTCACCGTGGATGCTGAGGCCAAGAAATCAGCACCTATTTTGCTTGATTTGGTACCCTGGCGTAAAGGACCTAAGCATAGACCTGTGAGTGGTTCTTTCAAGTGGGTTGCTGGATGGAGCTGCGCTAAGAAGAAACAGAAATCACAGGCCTACTCTAAACAAGACCTCAGGGAACACTTAGCGGCTAACACTGACAGGGCACAGGTTCTTCGCTCTTTTGTGCAAGGGGCCATAGCAGAGTGTAGGGACAGTCTGTGCTTCACAGAGCTCAATCGTGTCGTGCTGCGCAAGTGCGTGGAGCTCTTCCCGGCAAAGCAGGTAGCATCGGACAAACCCAGAGACACGCCGCAAGTTCAGCAAGCCATTAACAGCATGTGGCTGGCATATGAACAGCTCCGCGCCCCGCTGCCGACTGGGCAGTTTCAGCGTGCCTCCGTGGCCGTATCTAGGCAGCTGCACTTCCAAAAGGCTAGTCGTGAAATGAAACAACATAGCAGACAAGCTAGGAAGCAATGGTTGTTAGATAACATCGTGCTTGCGGAACAGGCTGCGCAAAAGAAAGACTATGCTGAGCTCTATAGAATCATTAACAAGGTCGCCCCGAAGAAGCGCAGAGAACAGGTGCGTATCCGTAGCCGAGAAGGAGGACTTCTCACAAAACAGCAAGAGTTTGCGGAGATCTTTGAATATTTCAGCAAAGCTTTCAAGTCAGGGAGTGCATGCATAGACACCACGCCCAATTGTCTCGTGTTGTCTAGGGAGGAAGTTACTGACGCACTGTCACAGCTCAAACGAGGGAAGGCCGTACCCACGGCCAGTGTACCAGCAGAGGTTTGGCAAACCTGTCCGGATGAGTATGCCGATGCACTCTCAGGCATGCTTTCAGCTCGTGCCAATCACGGGCTCGCAGTGCCGAGTGAGATCTCTCACTGTGAGCTATCGCTGTTGCCAAAGCCAGGTAAGGATAGTCGTAGGCCCTGTGACCTCCGTCCCCTAGGGTTACAAGATCCGAGTTCGAAGGTGTATGCCCTCGCCGTCAGAGCCAGACTTATGGAAACTATACAACCAATCCTGGAAGGTGTCCCCCAATACGCTTACATTCCTGGGAAAAGTATAGATCAAGCCATAATGAGGGTTGCCAGACATTGCAGGGATGTCAGACAGCGGCTTCGAGAGGGTGCAAGCTCGGTGCACCAGAGGCGGCAGGGTCTTAAATCAGGGGTTTGCTACGGGGGAGTGATGATATCCATAGACCTCAGTAGAGCATTTGACACCCTCACAAGACAAGCCCTTGCCGCCGCACTGGATATGGCTGGAGTGCCCCTGGCGTTGCGGGGTGCCACTGTCTCTCTGCATAATGCGTGCAAATATGCAGTCAAGCATCACGTGCATAGTGCCGAATTCCCTATGGAAATGGGAGTAAGACAAGGCTGCACATTGGCTCCCACGCTCTACAGTCTCTTTACGGCGCTGTTCTGGAGACAACTCGCGCAATGCACAACGCCAGAGTGGGCAGACAGATGCGTCACCATGTTCGCCGATGACAAACATATGTTTTGGTCGGTTGAATCGGTTGCTGATTTAAACTTCGTTTGTCGGTGTATCCAACAAACCTTTAGACTTCTGCAAACTTTTGGGATGCAAGTGAACTCTGGCAAATCCAAACTGGTGATCGCGTTACGCGGAAGCGCTGGCAAGAGATGGCAGCGGAAGCACCTGGTGAAGACGACTACTGGCCCGGCCTTAGAGGTAGGTACCCCACATAGTCCTCTTCAAATCCCTGTGGTTCATAGCATGGTTTATTTGGGGGTTGTAGCATCGTATGGGAGCTATGAGCTCCAGACCTTGCAGCATCGGCAACAGGCTGCGGCACAGAATCGTCATCGCCTGCTGAAATTTTTGCACGGCAAGATGCTTTCTCTCCAAGAGCGGGTTCGCCTTTACAACGCCTGCGTTCGTAGTGCACTGTTGTACGGGTTGCACGTGGTTGGGTTAACAGGCGCTTCAGCCAGAACTCTTGACTCCTCGGACATGAGATCTCTACGTGCCATAGCGAAGTCGCCAGTGCATCTCTCCAGAGAAAGCAACACGGCGCTGCGCAGACGCCTACACATAGATTCGGCTGTCGAGGCGGTGCAGAAGAGAATACAGCGCAAAACAGCTGGAGCCACGGCTACCAATGACACAGATTGGTATGCCGGCCTGCAGGCGAGCCTGGAAGAGATCATGAAGTATGTTGATGCATTGGAGCCAGTGCATCTTTCACGAGATCTGTTCCCAGGGGTTCCCTGTCCTGAATGTGGGCTGTATCTCACTAATCACAGGCATATGCTGTCGCACCGGGCTCGCAAGCATGGCTATAGGGCAGAAAGATCTGTGAAGAGCATGGGCACAAGTCATGTACAACATTCGGTGGATGGCATGCCACACTGCAAGCACTGCCATAAAACTTTCACCAGAGTTGAGGGCTTTAAGAAACATCTTAAGGGTGCGTGTCCGGTTCTGTTTGGATCCAAAGCTAGTAAGCACGGGGAGTCTGCCACTGCTGTGGCAGTCCAGGTAGCTCCACAGCAGGAGGGGCTGCGAATGGGGTCCTCGGACCGGGCCCCTCAGGCAGACTCCCCAGGGTGCCTAGTAGATGATGCTGAGTTTCAGGTGCTCTCATGCAAAGGCTGGAAGACTGTGCTCAGGGATCCAAGATACAAAAAGAACTTAGGTACGTACTGTGTGTTCTGCGGGCAGTGGTGTGCACCACAAGGCTTCAAACAGCATATTAGGTTGATGCACAAGCACCTGGCTGTACTGCATCAGCCTGCACTTGACCGTTGCACGTCTCTTGGGTTGCCAGCTCAAAGCCCTTGTTGCTTTTGCGGGGTATCCCATCGCCAACCTCGCAGACACCTCGCCTGTTGCTCAGCGGTTTATCAGGCCTCCCTAGCCAATCTTTACCTCGGACTGCAGTTCAAACACGCTCAGGCCCGCTCCAATGACGGAGGACTATGCAGCGGTGGCCAGGAAGGATGCGGCGACGGTGTTTGGGGAGGACGAGGACAAGGACATGCCCCAGCAGGAGAAGCCCACGGAGCAGGAGGATCCTTGGCAGGACCGCTGGCACAGGGCAGGGACAGGGGAGCAAACAAAGTGGCCAAAGGCGCAGAAGGGACAGTATGGAGGCAAAGGAAGCTGGTCTTCATGGTCCCAGAACCCCAAGCGCAAGCATGCGGAGCCGGAGGAGGCACACGTCGGGGAGTTGGACCAGGCCACCAAGGAGCTCATCGGGGCCATGACGCGGATGAGCCTCAGGCACGAAGCGGAGCTGGCCCGGCTGAAACAAGACACCGGGTTTATGCTGTTCATAGACACAGCAGACTACAGCTGCTTAGCCAAGCTTCGAGCGGCGGGGGACAAGTGGCAGACACAGTATGCCAACCAGCAGGTCACCACGTCGTTGAAGGTGGTCCTGATGTCGGGCCTTTGCCAGCTGCTGCGCCGAAAGGTGGAGGAACTGCAGAAGGACGAGGCGAACCTCGAGAGGCTCATGAAGGTGGGGTGGCTGTCGGAAGGACGCAATGCCCTGGATCCGGTCTTCCACTTTTACGAGTGGAGCCCATCCGAGAAGAAGGAGCTTCGCTCCACGGCGCCTCCAATTCCACTGACGGAGGTCCTGGGCATGCTGGACACTCTCGAGCAGAACATCACGGTGCCGGGAGTGTTAACGCAGTTCAAGTCCACCCGACAGTGGAGCGAGTCCCACCGCTCGGAGGTGATGCCTTTTCAGGTATCCCTGAGCCTTCGCCACGAGGAGGCCCATCGCTGCCATCGATGCTTCGTCCGCCTATCCGGGAACTCGGCGATGAAGTTGCTGGGAGCCAGGCTGCGGCCGGAGAGAGGGCAACGCAGCAATCTAGCTCGGGAAGTGGAGGACGCTTATCGTGCTACCAGCTACTGCAATTGGGGGCCAAGACGCGATTGGCAGAAGCCGCAGTCCACCTCGCAGACGGCAACGGAGGGCGAGAAGCCATCGACCTAGGTCGGTCGGTGGCTGGCATGCCTAGGTCGGCATGCCGAACAGGGGGCCAGAACCCCAGCTTGCCCAACAGGCTCCTGCGCAACCCACATAATATCTGCTATGCCAATTCGAGTGCTCAGGCATTTTACTGGAGCAGCATGCTCGCTGTGGATACAGGGAGCTGTGCGGGCTCCCTCCGAGCGGGACTCTCATCTCTGGGTGCATCGGGTAGCATGTATCTTCCTGGTTCTCTTACGTGGCGTAGTGTTTTTGCCGAGTGGCAGGGCCTAGCTGTGCAGCATGATGTCAGTGAATTCTACAATCACCTGTTACAGACCGCGGCCCCTACGGCATACATGGGTAGGTGGGAGTCCAGGTTAGAGAACCCGCACACAATTGTGGACTCAGGTGATCTGTATCATCCGCTTCTGCTGCACTTTCCAGGTGCGAGCCTATCCGAACTTATTCGGGGCTGGAAGCATCCGTATGCAGTGCAAGCATTGTGCCAACACTCCACCATGGTGCTACTGCAAATATGCAGATATGGTGCAGACGGCAGTAACAAAAACACCTTCCCAATCAATGTGCAGCCAGGTTCGGTGGTGCAGCTGCCAGTCTTCACTGACTGCACGAGTACGACGCTGCGCATGGAGACCTTTCGGGTTATATGGGTTATTTTTCACATAGGTGATAGGGTTACTAGTGGACACTATCAAGCGGCCCTTTGTTACCCAACGGCGGACGACTCCTGGGAATATCGCATCTGTAATGATAATCGCGCCCCTAAGAAAGCTCGTCCCTCAGACCTGAAGCTCCTGGCCCACAATGCCTATCTGATAGGTCTCCAAGCGTGCGCAATGCGCCCAACAGGGGACGCCCACAACAGCTGATAAGAGCAGCAGTGGCTGTGACACTGCATTTTGCATCCGCCGAAGAGCATGGATGTCTGTTCCGGTGTCAAACAGTTTGAGCTGCTGCATTGCGCGTTGTTAATGAAGTTGATTCCATGGATACTGGATCCACCAAATTTTTCGTTCTTTCCTTCTCCCTTTTGCATTCCTTGCCTGTCCCGTCTATAGCTCGAAAGGCTCTGTAGCAGGGATACTTGAAAACGATAGCCCGCAGTGAGCCAGGCTCTCAGTGTGCCATCAGAGATCAGAGACACAAGCGTCTGCAAAGCTCAGAAAGCCTGATGCCGGCTTTGTGCAGCGGTGCTCAAGCATGGTGGAAGCTTGCCCTTTGCCTAGAGATGTATACAATGACTCCTTAGAGGAGTTTCTGCTATTTCGTAGTCTGTGCTACATGTATGGGCAACAAACAACGGAGGCGCTACCACCCTCGCTTAGCATGATCTCCAGAAATGATTTGCTGCAAGAGGCCAGGCAGCGACTGTGGCCCGAGAATCTGCAAAGCTTTATGCTGTATACTGAGCAGCTCAGCTATAGTCTTGGTACTTGGCCTCTATCAGCGTTGCCGCCGCCGATTTGGAGGGAGAATCGAAGGCCTCCCGCAGCGGAGATCTGTGCGAGAAATCTGCTGGAAGAGGGTCAGGGCTCGTTGTGGTCCGCAGTCAGACAGGTGATTTGCCACATTGAGTTTGAGGATCCCAGGCAGAATTTCATGGCGCAAGATGCTCGAGCACGCAGTTTTTCACTGGGAGTCTATGCTCGTCAAGCTTTTGTGGGATTGTGCAAAGCTACACCTCTGCATCCGAACGTCTGTCGACTCCTCTGCAGGTTAATTTCACATGTATGTCCCAATCATCGCTGGACGAGCCTGGCGGTGCATGTTAATTACCGTGCGCCACCACACACGGACCAGCACAATGGGCCACAGCGCAGCCTGATACTGGCCTTGTCCTTGAATGATGAAGGAGGCCTATGGTTGCAGAATACCGAAGGCATTCATTACTTGGAGCATTCTGGACAAATACTGCAAGGAACCACGTATTCTCTGCAAGATCAGTATCTTCTGTTTAGTAGCCACGAAGTCAGGCATGCTACGCAGAGCTGGGCCCACTTTGACAGGGTCACGTTGGTGGCGTATACAGTACGCAACTGGCCACGTCTAGCGCAACCCGTGCAAGAATCCCTATTGGATTTGGGGTTTAATCTTCCCGACCTACCTGCCGGGCATCTGGTACCCGCACCGAATCTTTTGCCCACTGTCTTAGCTTGAGAGCCTGTCACCCAAGGTGTGTTTGTGGTTCTCTAGGCAGTAGACTTTAGATTGCACAGCATCGATGGGCCAGTGCGTGGGAGGAAAAGTTCAGCGCGAGGTGTGTCAGAGCATGCACAGAAGACCGCAACTGACGCTTCCATGAAACGCTGCTGCTTAGAACTTAGGCTCATGTCCGCGCAAACAACGGTGACTTACCCAGTGTCGGAGGGTGTGGGACCCTCGCCTTCATCTAAAATCCGATATTGCTGCACCCCAGGATGCGGTCGTGCATATCTGCGCACCAAGCACAGACACTGCTGCTCAATGTGCCGCAGGGGTCTGCATTCGCCGAAGTGCACTTCTTTTCAGCTGGCACTGCGTCAAATGAGCCGCACCACATGCTCAGTAACCAGTTGTTTGCATTTGGTAAACTTTGGCTATGAGACATGCTGTGCCATCTGTGTGGCAACCCAAGGGGTCCAGCACTCTCAGGGATGTCATGACCGGCAGGAGCTGATTCGAACGCTGTCATCAGACTCAGGTGCCACAGCTACAGCAGCTAGGTCACGACACCATATGCAGGGTTTCAGGGCATCGCGAACTCTGACTTCTCCGGCATCTGAAACACCTGAAGCGGTGGCGGATCCTGTCTGCGGAGTTTCTGAGTGCAGCAATACGGCATCATCTGAGCAATCACCGGGCAGTGAGGGAAGACCAGTATATACAGCAAAGGAAAGTTCTTTCTGTACAGTTTTGGATCTACATACCATGGACTAGGAGCTGCATGGAATCATACTCCATGCAAATCATGTTGCTTCGAGGAAGCTCGGAAGTGCCTTGAGAGCTATGCAACTGTCATAGTGCTGCTTCAAGCGGCCGGATCTGAGATCTGTCTCCCGTTCGTCAAGCACTGGTGCACCGTGCGACGCTGCTGAATGAATACTACTACTACTACTACTACCACCACCACCACCACCACCACCGCCGCCACAACCACCACAACCACCGCTACTTGGACCACGACCACCACTTTGTCGAAGACGGTGGCTGCCACGACAGTACAGACACAATCATCGACTGTTGACTATCTGTTTCGCGCGATGTGGTGTTGCCTCTTAACTCCACAATCGAGTTCGAGACGTCTTTGTTTGGCCGTTTAGGGCTCCAACTTCAAAACCTTGTAGATGAAAACCTTAAATCTAACTCGAACTTTCTCTGATCATTGCAGCTCTTCATCCCAAGGACAGCCACTGCCACACGCCCCTGCACGCTGCGGCAGCTCAAGGCAATCTGGATGCAGTGCGGCTGCTGACAGAGGCCTGGTCTGGCGAAGGTTGTTTTTTGGGGGTTTAGGGTTTAGGGGTTTAGGGTTTAGGGTTTAGGGGGGAGGGGGTATGGTTTCGATCATACTTAAAGAGTTAGGGCTGAGTTTTGGGTTTTAGGCTTTTTCGTTTGGGAAGTTCGGGGGTTAGGAGTGCAGATTCGCAGGGGGTAAGGATTGGGGTTGAGGGGCAGGACGGTTGTTTTGGGTACGGTTCTTAGGGTTTTGGGTTTTAGGGTTTGGGGGCAGGAGGGTGTTTTTGGGTACCATTCTTAGGGTTTTGGGTCTTCGGGTTTAGGGTCGGGTACAAGTCTTAAGTTCTACCCTTCTTTTTTTCCAACCAGGGCTTGAATGGCCACCGAAACACCATGCCACTCGTACAACTCGGGAAAGGGGGGGGCGCCTGGTTCAAGAGAAGTACATCTGCGGAAGGTTGTGTATGTTTTTTTTGTCGTGATCGGTGTTTCTATGATGACTCTGTATTGCAGATGTCATCCTTCTGTCATTAAGTTATGTTCTGGTTCTTGCCAGTCGATTTCCTGTTGCTGTTATTCCAGGGCTGTCATCATCTGACACAGGCATTTATTTAGTAAGGGACAGCTGCGGAGATTACCATAAACTCCAATAACATCTCTGATAACATCCGTTTAGCATTCCTTACGAACCACTCTCAGACCCTTTTATAAACCCTACAGCGCCCAAAACCCTACATTCAAGAGCTAGAAAACCCTAAAGCACAGGAGCCTGGGTTTAGGGTTTAGGGT